TCTTCTGTGTAAGCCATCAACATAAGTACAACTTATCAAAATAGACTGTAATAAAAGCCTTCATCTGTGTCTATACTCGTCACAACTGTGAAAAAATACATATTGACGGCAATGTGTTTTTATAAAAAGGTTTAAGGCCAGGCATGCATCATTCTCAAATATGAGTCCTCTCTCGCTAAAGTCATTTTAACCGGATCCGCTAGTTTTGCAAAGCTGTAAAAAAAGTACAGCAAAAAAGGTGCCACTTACTGTGCCAGACTGCAAAGTAAGTGGCTTTGTGCTATAAATACTGTTTTCTGCATCTGTATAAATCTGACATATGTGGCTATGGGAAAATGTTCAAGCAAAATAGCACACCAGTTTTTTCCTATACAGTCTCCTCACACCGGCTAGTAGTGCCACTCTGAGGGAATAGAGCTCGCCTTTATTTGCTGCAACTGCATCTGCCTACAATTTTATTCACAAAAGATCCTATTAAAAGTCTTCCTTCAGTAAGATGCTTGTTAAAGCTTGTTTACTTTCCAGGGCTTTTGTGTTGAAATATTTGTGGGAGGATGAAGGCTGTCAGGATGTAAGTGGAGAGGAGGGATGAGGTGGGGGATGCTCTGTTAAGTTTCACCATGAGGGATGTTGTGTTCTGTGTCCACAAACAAAGGATTAATAATCAACAGCAGCTCTGATTGGGTTTTTTTCCAGATACAGAAATTTATTAAATGCTTAAACTTTTAAAGTTTTCACAAAATACACGCTGAAGTTTAAACTGACCATCAGGATGAAGAATAAAGGTAATTTAAGTGACTTTGAATGTGGCAAGGTTGTTGGTGCCAGATGGGTTGGTCTGAGTATTCCAGAAACTCTTGATCTACATGCATTTTCCCTAAAATACAATTTCTGGGGTTCACAATGACATCCAAATATCCAATGAGAGACAAAATGTATTGTTTTGCCTTCCTATCGCCTTCTTCAAGGTGATAGGAAGGCTACAGAGACTCAAATAGGTGTGTGTTACAACCAAGGTACACAGAAGACAGCACAATTTGGGCCTCTTAGCACCAAATGAGCATTATTTAAATGCCACAGCCTATCTGAGTATTGTTGCTGTCCGTGTCCCTTGATGACCATGTTGTACCCATCCTTTACAGGATAACGCTCCATAACACAAAACTCAATCTGAATCTCAAGCAGGTTTCTTGAACCTGACAATGACTTCCCTTCACTACACTCAAATGGCCTCCACAGTCTCCAGATCTCATTCCAACAGAGCACCTTTGAGATGTGGTCAAACTGCAGATTCACATCTTGAATGTTTAAGTGAGAAATCTGCAGCAACTGTGTGACATGGGCCAAAATCTCAGAGGAATGTTTCCAGCACCTTGTTAAATCTGTGCTAGAAGGAACAAGGCAGTTTTAAAGGCAGAAGGGGGTCCAGTCTAGTACTAGCAAGGTGTACCTAATGAAGTGGCTGACAAGTGAATATCACAAGAGTTTTTACAGTTGGAGACACATTTCTCTTTGTGTAGCATCCTGTAATCTTGAGCAGGAAATACCACTGCACAGCACTTTTAATTTACACTTATTATTGTTTACTAAAACCAGAAAACAAAGAGAGAATATTTTTGTCTCCAAATTATAGCGATGATTGCTGTCTGACACTAAGATAAAGCTACATTAGGAATAATTTATAATGTATAATAACCTGCAGAGGAGATGTTTTTGTATTTGCATAGGCTTTCTGGTTAAAACCGGTCATTAGTGCTATAAAATGAAACTCATTTCCATGTGGAAGCCAATGAAAATGTTCTTTAAGACCACAAAGTCAGTCTGCCATTTACTCTGGAGTAAGTGGAGCGGCCCTGGGATTTCTGTTCAGATGAAATTATGCATTTTGTGATTTGTGGATTTTGGAAGATTATTTGCATTTTAAAATTGCTGAATCAAATTCAGCTGGTAGATAACGTGATAATAGTGTATTGTTTCATTTCTGGTTCTTATTTTTGATTTTCTTTATTTTTATTTTGTTTACATTCGTCATTCAACAAACAGTTGTGTTTCCTTCATCTAACTGTCACATTTGAGACCTGCTTGAACAAATTTCTGCAAATATCCTCTCAAGCAACTGTGCATAACCAAGCCTGTCATTTTCCCAGGAATAGAAGGGTAGTTAAAATTACAGCTTCTGAGGAGTGGAAATTTACGCACTGTCTGTTCTGAAAAAGGACCTCTAACAAAATAGCCATATGGTTGCATTTACAGATTTAATCATGGGAAGTTTTAAGATATAAGGGGAATCTTTAATGATATATGACACGGAGTGATCCGCCTATTTTGTGGTAGGGTCCAACTTCACGTGGATGTTCAGTGACTGAGGTAGCTTTTCAGCGGGAGTTCATAATATTTATGGTTCTACAGTCTATCATTTCCATATCTTCCTAAGAGTTAACGCCTAAACGAAACACGATTACAGTTTTAAGGCTGTGGGCCAGGGTATGTCCAGTCATTCTGTACCATTTCTGTTCTCTATATAGCTTCTATCTCTTTGTTGGCATCCACCTCTTTTTAGAAAATAAATGCCTCTCTAGCTGGTAGCTGCTCTATTGTGACTGTCAGCTGGCTGCTAACATTGTCTGCTGGCCACTCAGACGTCTGACAAAGGCTACCTGTTAGACATGGGAAACAAGTGAACAGTAAAGTTATGGTCTGTCAAACCGAATAAGTGAATTAGTTGCTACAACGTGAACTAAGAGTTTGACTTGAATTAAAACAAAACTGAATATATGTAACAATATATATAACAACACACTTACCTGCTATGTTGTTAGGTAAATAGAGATATCTGATAAGCTCATTTCATTTAAGCACATAAACATGGTAAAGATGTCCTGCTAAATGGTGAAGAAAGGTGATTTAAGTGACTCTGAAGTGTTTGTGGGTGCTTGAGTGTTTTAAAAAATTGCTGATGTGCTGTGGGTTTACGGCAAATGGATTGAAAAAGATAAAAATGTCCATCAGCACCTCTGTGGGTGAAAAAGCCTTTTTGAAGTCAGCAATCAGAGAGACTGGGCAGACTGCTTTGAGATGATATGAAGGCAAAAGGAGTTCAACAAAGTACAATCAAGGTTCGCAGAAGAGCATCTCTTAATGCACAGCAGAAGTAGACCACACTGTGTGCCAATCCTGTCAACTAGTAACAGCAAATTGAGACTATAATTCACATGGGCTCATCAAAATTGGTCAGTAGAAGGTTACCTTGCCTCGTCTGATGAGTCTTGATTTATGCTGTGACTTTTAGATGAACTTGGCGTAAACAAGGGTCCAGGCTAGTGTTGAGGAGTGTGGGGGATGTGGCACACTTTATGGTCCCTAAGTACCAAATGATCATCATTCAACAGCCACAGCCTACCAGTGTCCATCCATTTATAACCACAATGTATTTATCTTCTGATGGTTTCATCCAACATCTCAAACTGGCCTCATCAAGTCTCCATTTACCAAAATGAACCATGAACCAAAATTTCTTAGCAATGTTTCCACCACCTTGTTGAATTTATACCAACTATAATTAAGGCAGTTCTGAAGGCAAAAGGAGGTCGAAGGTTTGCCTAAAAGTGGCCAGTGATTGTATTATAAAAAACAAGTATTAATTCTACAATTATTTTATATAATCACTGAAAGTTTAAAACCTTAAGTTTAAACCCGAGCATTTAAATTCAATGGAGATTTAAAGTTGTGGTAAGGACAGCTGCTGTGACTGAGTGAATGCAGCAGACATACCACAGCAGAGCTATCTGGAAGCTCCATGTCAGCGAATTCAGGTCAGTGAACTGGACCTCTTGTCAATTTGTTAGGTGTTGATGCTTTTTAAAAAAAAATATATAATTCTGAAAATATCTGATTAATAACGTGGCTTTACTTCTGTGTAGCTACTATAAATGAAGTCTTTGCTACAGTATGTGAGTTACTTAGCAGAAATTAGCAATTGTCTGTGCTCAGGCTAGTGTTAGCTAATGTGCTATATTATTATTATTAGTAGTAGTAATAATAACTTTGTCTAAAAATAGTAATTTGCTTAAATGTCATTCATAACTGTTGTGTCAGTTTCACCTATATGACACATTTGTGCCATATAAATATAAGAAACCATGTAGGCCTGCCATGACGCAACCCCCCAAACAAAACAAAAACAAACCAACCAAGTTCAATATAAGTTAACATAAACACAAATACACACAGTTATGATGGTAGGCTTATATGTAGTCACAAGATGACGACTGCCGCAAAGCAATGGGTGATGTCTAGTTTGTCTAGTTTTAAATGCAGTCTGAGTTGAACCAGATAACTTAGAAGTCACTTCTAGTCTGCTGTAAAAGTCACATTTAACTTATTTCACTGGTAAAAATGGCTCCTAGACCCTTTGAGATAAACGAAAATCTCCTTTAGTTTCCTTACACGTCTGTGCGCCATCAAAACCAGTCACCCAGATAATCACTTTGAACAAACCAAGCCCCTCTGCGTGGAACACTATATCATTGCATACGATGACAATAAACAGGGTCATGTTATCAGTTATGGAACAAGAGAAGTTACTACTCATAGTTAATTACCTATGTTATATAAATTTGACTTATTTATGGTTAGTTGTGAAAATCTGCAAAACTGTAGCCTAGAAGTTTCCCATTTTGCTGGTGGGGATTCAGCGTGTCATCCCTGGTTGCTCCTGCTTTGCAATGCAGGGTTTGCGGGGCTGATGGGGGGCACCAGCGGTAGAGACACTGTCTGTCCGACTGGGGGCGGCGTTGGACAATCACTTTCTACATGCGTCCCAGCGTGCAACCCTCCTGCCACCCTTCACCACCTACTCCATCCTCACTTGTGGGATCAGCAATTCAGATTGCATGCAAATCCGGGAGCGTCACTGTGGACGTGTGTGTGTGTGTGAGTGAGTGAGTGAGTGAGCGAGAAAGAGAGAGAGAGAGAGAGAGAGAGAGGGAGAGAGAGGAAAAGAGAGGGGGAGAGGAGAGAAGTGTGGTTGCATTCCTGGAGAGAGATCCCTGCCCCTTCCTCCTTCTTCCTCCTAGTTCCTCTCTTCCCTCCTGGTCTCCCAGCCGGCGGCGGCAGAGAGGGATTTCGAACCCGGGCTGCAGATGCGAAGAGCAGGGCTGCATGGTTAAAGCGTAGAGAAGTTGTGGCAAAGGCGGCTGGAGCAACCTTTAGCGCACTCGAGAGAGTTTGGAGTTTGCATTTGGACGCACCGTGCGGTCAAATCCAATCAGAGAAAAGTTTACTTTTCTGGTTACATCCGTGGTCATGGGCTCCCAGCGGACACTCAGGGCCGGCCGGACGGGGCTGCTCCTGGCGGGGCTGCTCGTGGCTGTGTGGCAGCTTTGCGCCGCAAATTGCCCGGAGAAAGAGTTGGAGGACAGAGAAGAGGAAGCCAACATAGTTCTAACCGGTACCGTGGACGAGATAATTAACAAGGACCCGGTGCATAACAACTATTCCTGCAAGGTAGGACTTTTCATGTGCTTTCCGAAACGACTGCGCCCGAGCGCATGTACACCTGCTGATGGGCTTTAATAATATCTAATAGGCTATCTTTACCCTTGTGTAGCTGATGGAAGCCATTACCTTCCAGTTCCAACTCTCTAAAAGCTTGCCTGAAAAACATTTTACAAACTCATTCATTCAGAAGCATTTGGCAGCGGTTACATGGACAGTGCGAGTGAATCCACATTGCTTTCAGAAATAGATGGATGGTGTTTTTTCTCTCTCTCTCCCCTCTTGCCAATTACATAGTCATAAAGCAGGCCTAACCGAGCATGTAATCATCCCAAACATGTTGTAGCAGGAAAACTGACAGGTAGCGCGTACTTGATGTCCCCTCATAAATGCTGAAAACATGCAACATGCCATTTCCAGTGGATGCAAGGAATCTTGTATTTTATAGTTTTTCTGACAATTGGCATCCTAAACTAGGGCTTTGTGACTTGTGGATAACAGGTCATATAAAAAGATCACACACACACACACACACACACACACACACACACACACACACACACACACACAAACAAACAACTTTAAGTCACTGCTATGTATAGTTATTCAGTACATTGTCACCATTCATTCATGAGCAACCTGGAGCTGTAATATTTTCAGCAACATAGACATATGATCTACAATTAATTGCCTTTATTTAATGATGTATTTAATTTAAATTATAGCCTAAAGTGCTAAAAGGAAAAATTTCAGTCACCCTTCCTCCATCTCTGACTTGTGGTAGACCACTCTATAATCTGTGAAAACTAAACAAGTTTTATTTGGTCAGCTTTCCCACTGCGCTTTTCCTGCGCCCACTTGCTTCTCGTTTCCCCGTGAATGAATGGAGTAGATTAGAGGCGCACAGCTCCAGAAACCACCACCAAATTCTGAAATGAGACAAGAGAGCACACACGTAAGAAAGGAGTGAGCTTTCCCATGACGTATGAAGCAGCGTTTGCTGCACTTGATGGGCACAGTGCACACTGGTGCGTGCAGTATCGTAGGCAACTTTTCCAGCGGCTGGGCAAATTCTGCATCTGGAAGAATTGGCTGGGTTTTCTGTAAGTTGCAAGAATCTGTTTAGGATTTGAAAATTGGGGTTACAAGCATCGGTGCCCTTGGGTGTTTCAGGGAAACCTTGATTATGTTTGAGTTCAAAATTCCCCACATGCACCCCTGTGCGTATGCATAAATGCAAATCTCTCTTTTGTCGTTCTGTAAAGGTCAGAGTTTGGCGTTACTTGAAAGGGAAGTCCAGCGTGAACCGTGAAATTCTCCTGGATGGCGGCAACAAGGTGATGATCGGCGGCTTCGGCAACCCCGGGATCTGTGACAATCAGGTGTCCGTGGGCGACACTCGCATATTCTTCCTCAACCCTGCCCCTGACTACATGAGGCCCGAACACAGGAACGAACTTATGCTCAACTCAAGTCTGATGAGGATTACCCTGCGTAACCTGGAGGCTGTGGAGCACTGTGTGGAAGGTAAGCAGCCAGTTTGAAGGGAATAAAATCTGGACTCTACCTTATGTAGTAATTCTTATAATGATAAACACACAGGAGCTCCTGATAAGTTTATCAGTACGTATCCTTGCTGTTTTGTAAGTCAATTTGCTGTGACGGTGTTTCCATAAAGTGTGTGACATATAAGGAATTTAGTGCAGGATCTATGCTGTGGTTTGAGGGCTCACAGCAGTTGTAAATCACTTAAAGCAGGCAGGATTTCATACTCCTGTGGCTTCTGAAATTCTACAGCCCCAGGCTCAGAGTGTCGAAGTTTCCCTGAACTCCATGAAACAAGGACACCTGAGTCATTGTAGGAGCTGTGTTGCTATGGTGAGGCTCCGGTCTTTCCCAGCAAAGCCTTGAGGTGGGTGTGTCTGATAAACACCTTAAGGACAGAAGTTGAGGGATGATCCCCGACCTTTGCACCTTGAAGCTGGGCAGTTTTATTAAGTCTGAGGTGAAACTCTTGAACTCTTACATACACATAATGCATGACGTGGGAGCATTCCAGAGCAATGCACATTCCCACCGCTTAATGGCGGGAGAAAGGGAAAATGACTCTCAGCTCACACGCGTTCTCAAAAAAGTAGAAATAGGTGACGTGTTTTAAATATTGTTGTTTATTCAACTGATTTGCTTCAGCCCACAACAAGCCGATTAAAAACCGTTCCTCTTCGGCCGAGAAGTAATTTGTCAGGCTCTTATGAGATAAACTGTGCAGCCATGACTAATAAATCTCAGCATCTACCAAGACTGTAAGACTGCAGCACCCTGTGCCCCCCCCCCACTCATGCCAGTGAGCTGTGAGCTTGCTGCTGTTTAACTTTTACTGGTGCTTGACAATGTTGGCAGCGGTTCAAAGTTTGACTGTAACACTTACACAAGCCGGGAGCAAAAGACCGAGGAAATGAATCAGAGCACGAATCACCTTGCTGAAGGCATTCTGGGGCATTCACTGGTTCCGAGTTGCGGGGGTCTATATTCTGGGTACTTTCCTCTAAGCAGTTCTGGGTGGCAGGATGTTCCAGTGGATGGAGCTTGTTTGCAGTGTTAAGTTGCATTTGGCACTCACATAAAACTTCTTCTGTTTGTCTGTCTAGGCACGAAACACTGCACTGCTAACCTTTTTTATTCAGCCCCCTTTTCTTCTCTTCGGACTCCTGTTGTGGAAAGGGGAGTTTCTTGGCTCCGACAAACTGTCTAGAATGTGCCCTTTTGGTTACGGGGCTTTGTGTTTGAAGAGGGTTTACGTCGCATTACCTGGTTTTCTCATATCGATTTACAGCTGAAGGAATAGCAGTAAGGAAATACTAGTCATTATGAAAAAGTCGGTTTATTAAGCACTTTGCTGGGAAGCTTCTGGAGCTTCTTATGCAATGATCATCCTGTAAGTAACAGCCTGCAGGACAACTGTCAGGTGCAGCCCCGCCGTGAAATCTTTATTTTGTTTTCGGGCCCTGATAATTAGCTTGAATGCCTTCATCCAGAAGAGAGTGAGCTGTGAGGCTTGTTCCAGTGAAGGGTTTTAATTAAGAGAGTCAAGTCAGATCCCATCCATTCTTATGCAGCCAGTACCCCCGGAGACTGTGGGATGTTAGCACAGCGGGACAAGACTGTACCTGCCGCAGCAACTCATTGTACCCTCCTCTGCTCGCTCCTCATTCTTGACATTTTCGATAGCTAGGATAGACTCAGGAATGCCTGGCAGAGTGCTGGGTGGGGAGGTGCATTGTCTGAGGCGGAAGAAAAAAGGCTTTGTGTGTGCTCCTTGCCACCAGAGTTTTTTTTTTCTTTTTTCTTTTTGGACACAGTCATAAAAGAAATAGGATGAGTGATGTAGAATGAAGGCAAAACAGAGGATTATTATTTTTCTTCCTTGTTGTTGTTGCGCATGTGAGGACGTGGTTTGTGAGGGATGTTTTGTTTGCCGTGGCTTATTTGTTGGATCGGGGCCCCGCGAGAAGATAGATACCCTCAGGCTTTATGTTTCACCGTTTTTCTTCGCACTGGGTGGTGCCACTTTAGTGCCGCTTAGTCCATGCGTGCGCTCACTTGGCTGCAGGCTCTAATACAAGATTTAGCAAACATTTGCAATGTCAGTTATGTCTTAAAACGCTGTCCGCCACATTTAAGATGAATAAGCAAGGCCTTCTCTGTGTTCTTTTGTGCCCCACTTTTGTATGTTGAGGTCTTATCGCCACCTACCGAAGCCCTTGCAGGCATTTCTGTTACTTAAAGGAAGAAACTGAAAATCCAGCTCTTTAATACAAATGCAGCTCCTCTCCCACATAGTTGAATTTGCACCCTGTCAGGGCAGATAAGCAGAAGGCCCTGAGGACACGCAGAATGTCTTCCTCTGTTCAACCCTCTAGCTACCAGTTAAATGTTAGCCCTGTCATTTGTGCTGTGCAGAGAGTTGACAGATAATGTGTCAAGCAGGATCCAGCAGTCATTTGCTGTGTCTTTGGAAACAAATTGAGTTGTGGATTGCAAGAGTGGATAAAGAAGGCAATTTTAGGGCTCAACTGAACTCTTTCTCCAGATATTGTGAAGAGTTTAGAAGACACACATAATGACGTAACAAAAACAGAAGGCAAACTGAAGACAAAAGTGTTTGGTGGGGGGGTGTTGGAAGAGAGGAAGCTGCTTGATGGAGAAGTGTTGAGTTTGCAGGGAGATTGTATCTGTCTTGCTCTGTTTATCAGCTGCTTTTGTTTCAGCTCTTGATGACTTGATGCCAAAGTCTTTCCCTTAAGGCCCTGACAAAGACAAAGAGCTGTTTCTTCCTTCTGTCTTGATCTTTTCCTCTCTCTCCTTCCCCCTCCCGTCTTCTTTATTTTGTTTCTCTCTTTTTAGGGGAGGGGGAACGAGCCAGTCAGAACTCAGCGCATAGTCATGCAACAGCTGCATCAAAGATAATTTCTTTGCCCCTTTGTGTTGCATCTATTTCAATCCATAATGCTGACTGCAGCTAGTGTGCATGCTGTCCTTCTAGGGTGATAATGAGCAGCATTTTACTACTCGACTTCCTACTGATGCTTTATGATCTGTGTGTACAGCAATCCAGAGGCTTGCAGGTTAGCCGGGCTTGTTGAGAACATGATGGGGGTTCTGGTGTGCCAGCAGGTGGTTTTGCTTAATGATGGTCGAGCAGACAGTCTTGCGGGGTGGGTGGGATGTGGGATGACTGTTTAAGCCCCCCCCTCTTCTCCTCAAGGGGCTGCTTGGAGTGAATAAAGCTGGGTCTTGCGAAAAGCTTTTTTTCCCTCCACTGTTTGTGCAAGGAGGAGGCTTGGAATGGACTGGAATTCCTAACCTGGCTGCCCTCTCCCTCCTCCTTCTTTATTGATATGTGAGGAGATAATGATGAAATGGGGAGGAGTGAAGATTTCAGTTTTTACCTGCAGCTCTTCATAACGCACATGCCAATCATATGGATCCCCAGAAGAGTTAAAGACTTTCCAAAAAAGGACCTGTCATTTCGCTCAATCAGTTAATCAGTTACTAAAGGCCGTGGAAAATACTCATGCTTCAGCAGCTCAGGTTTTCAGGAATTTTAGGGCATTTTATGTGAGGTTCAAGTCCTAATTATGTTAAATTTTGACACCACATGTTGTGTACACAGGATCCTCTTGCATTAAATGACTTCTGTGTGTTTTTCCTGAAGGTTCATTTCACTTCAGGTGCAATAATCGCCTCTAAGCTTAGTGGAGTCTGCCTTTAGTTCTGGTAGAAAGGCCAGTCTCTGCTATTAAACACTCTGGGAAAACTTGCACCAAGTTTGCTGCCTTATAATTAAAATATTAGGCTCCGTTTCCACCTGTTCCTGTGCAAGGAACTGTACAGGTAGATTAAAACATCACAGTTGCACAGTGAAACATGACAACCTACCAGTTTCCCAGGTAGAAAAACATATGGCTTATGGGTAATTCCAAAGGGGGAGATGGAATTTATTTCGTTGTAAAGTGTGTGAGAACACTACACAGCCGCACCCAGATGACTGAACTAAAGCACCGGGGTCTTTACCCAGTCCATGTCTACACAAGCAGCCTTTTGTCTTCAGGGAGTCATGGGAAGTCAAAAAGAGTGACTTTGAGGATTGGATTTTTCTCAGGGGCCTTGAATGGATTAGGCTAAGAGTGAGACTTCATTCGTTTGCTGTAGAGTTTTTCCACAAAGGTGTACCCTTGATAAATCTGTGTACCCTGTGTGGCTTATGTCAAAGCATTTATGCAGTGAAGTGAACTGAATTGGGCAAATGGAAAAGGCTAGATGGATGGCTTTGATGAAATAAGCAACAAAGGCAAGGAGGGAGTGACAAGACCAGTGGACCTGTGTGCCATCTAGCCCAGAGTCTCCGGAGTTATTGCGCATTTTACATTTTAATTAAAAATGCAGGAGTGGAGTGCCTGCTTGGCATAGCGATAAAGGGGGCTGAAAATGAAAAAGCCATGAAAGACGGGAGCGAGCAAAGGAGGAACGGACCACTTAACCGCAGTCTGCTCATCTTGGCTTGTTTCCCGGCTCAAAGCAGGAGTGTATCACTCCGCTGCTGATTAGAATCACAGATGGCAGTATGTGATAGCGATAGTAAGCAAAAACACCTACATGTAGTGACATGCCTGTCACTACCTGTGAGATGTTGACACGCTCAAAGTGTACACACAGACATACTGTGTAACATCAGGGCTGTCCTGATATACTACGTTTTGTGTAAAAAAGCCGTCAGAGCCTGGCTTCATGCAACAACACGCGATTGCATCTTCTGATATGTAAAGTTCGTCATCTTTCTTTAATTGTGACAAAGCGAAAGACATTTAAAAGATCTCAGCACTCGATGTAGGACTTCATTCCAGTCACGGCTCTCTTTGGCTAAATACAACATGATCAAATGATTTAGTAAGTCTTTTGATAGTAAAGATGACGGTTTTCACCATACAGCGATTGTTTTAAGGCTAACGGAACTGAAAAGGAGATGT